TCAGTGTGGTTGTTTGTGGTGAGACTTCCAGCCTGTCAGTGTGTGTCCATCCAGCAGGATGTCAAGTGACTACTGGGCAGAGATCTAGGCGAGGCTATGAGTGAGAGAAGTAATAAAGGGAAAATATTGAAAAGCAAAGCGGACAATGCAAAAACGCCCTTGCTTCCGTTAGCATCTGAAAAGCAGGACTTGTAGAGATAGATTTAATAGCAGACAGACACACAGAAATAGAAAGAGACGTGTGGACTCATACAGCAGACACACATACCGCCACACTGATTGTCCCAGTGCAGGCCATGAGGAGCCTGTCAGATTACAGGAGGGTAATTGAATGGTAAGGAAGCAGACAACACATCTAGCACAGCCGGACTCCAGAGGCGGCCGCCACCATACCAGAGCTCAGGGGAAATTCAGGGCCCACTTAATAGTGAATTGGAGATGGGACATTGCATGTGTGTGTGTGTGTGTGTGTGTGTGTGTGTGTGTCAGGGTATGAGTTTGTGCGTGAGTGCTTGGTAGGTGTGGGACAAAGGGGAGCGCTCATGGCTGCAGAGAAAGTGGTCACTAAAAATCTGAAGAAGGCTGATTTCAGAAACTACTTGACATGAGCAGGCGGAAAAAACACCACGAGAAACATCTGAGAGGCATGACAAAGCAGAGAGAAAGAAATAACAACAGAGAGAAGAGACACAGAAAGAAAGGCGGAGGTACAAAATGAGGAGAGGCAGATGGGAAAAGAGATAAGGCAAAAGGGAAGAGGTGGTGAGAGGGAAAGTGAAATGCAGAGGTATGAAGGGGAACAGAGGGACGGCGGGAAAAAGAGGTCGGGAAGGGAAAAGATACAGAACCAAGATATGAAGGTTGAAGGAGAGCTGCTATATATGATGAGTGTCCATCTACCAATGAGTCTCTAATAGCAGAGGAAATTGACAAGGAAGTCAAACAAAAGCACTGAGGAGCGCTACGAGAGGAAGACAAGTGACAAATTAATAGAGATTTTTTTTCAGTGGCACTTTAATGGCAATGAACACTTATTTTATTTCATTCCCATATGAACAGGGACAGAAGAGCAAACATTACACACGCATACTATGATATTGATTGAAGGAGGTGTGTGTGTGTGTGTGTGTGTATGGCCTAGCATTACTATACTTGTGGGGACCTAAATCTGTTTACACCGTCATGTGTGGGGACAAAATGGAGGTCCCCATAAGGGGAATCATTAATTTTAGGGTGAAGACTTGGTTAGGGTAAGGATTAGGGTAAGGGGTAGGCATATGTTGGTTATGGTTAAGGTTAGGATAAGTCTTCAGGAAATGCATGTAAGTCAATGTAATGTCCCCTGAAGTGATGTATACATGGTGTGTGTGTGTGTGTGTGCGTGTGTGTGTGTGTGTGTGTGTGTGTGTGTGTGTGTGTGTGTGTGACAGGAAGCAGACTTCTGTTCGGGAGCCCAGCGGCTGGTAAGAAACTAACAACAAACTTCACTCTAGTGAGAAACAGTGGAGAGGTTATGGTGAAATAGATAGAAAAATAAAAAGGGGGGGGTGTATGCGAGGAAAGAGGGGAGAGACAGGGAGGAGAGGAGAAAAAACAAGAAGGTCTGCTGGGTGTAAAGTTTCCCCTGGATATGATATGTGGATATGGGGAAGTCATCAAGTCTGTGAAGTGGAAATAATAAAGAATTAGGATTGTCTCTGAAGACAGGGGAATTAATCCAAAATGAATTACGAAGGGGGGAAGAGGAGAAGAGGGGGGGGGAATCAACATCAGCTATTTCCTTTTTCCTCTGCTTCAAGGCAGATAGGGGGCGGTTTGTGCGAGAACTGTGAATCCCATAAAAATTAAATTAATAACAAAGGGAAAACACACACACACAAATAGAAGCGGAAAAAATTAGTAATACGTGGGTGGGGAGAGATAGTCGTACAGAGAGCAAGGGTACAGATGGAAAAAAAAGAGACAAGAGAGAGATTTGAGGGAAGTGAGGGTGGGCACTGTTGCTGCCAGATTGCACTGCTCTTTTGTTCCCCCTCGTCTCTCTGGAAAGGGCTGCTGGTGTTAAAGAGGAGATGCCGCGGAGGCCATTGTAATAAATGCCACTTGTAAATTGCGGAGTGGAATTATACAGCGTGCAGATGGATCCATACGCCTGAGCAAAATGCGGCCAAAAAAACGGCAGCGATAATTAAGACTTAGGGGGTGAATGACAGAGCCATTTGTGACGACGGAATATGGCGTCTCCGAGCTCTCTGGGAAACAGAAGGGCTCGGAGAGGCTCGGTGTCACAAAACATTACCCAGACAGCTGTTGGCTTTATGAGCAGCAATGGTGTGCTCCCTTCCTCCCGCTCATCCTACTATATCTCTCCCCCCCCCCCCCCAAACACACACACACCCATCTCACCTTGGTCACCACACAGGGGTGCTGTTCTTTTCCAGTTTGTGCCATTTCAAAACAACCACCCACCTTTTCTCCCTCCCCAAAAACACATGCATTGCCACCCCCTTCTTTTCGCCTCATACCACCATCCTCACCATCTCTGAGGGACTAGACAAGGACTTGTACTCCATCATTCATATCAAGGGAGGAGGAGGAGGAGGGGAGGTGGCACTCCATGCACACAAACTGTAGAGTAACACCCGGGCTGAAAATGCAATAAAAGGCAACGACACTGACAGTGCACGGTACTGTTTTGAATGGGAGTTGGGCTTAATGGGGCTCTGGGCTGACTGTAAAGTAGGAAAATCGAATTGTGGTGTTTTTCCTCCCCTCTCTCTTCTGTTAAAAAACATTTTTGTACATCCCTGCGCTCTATGTCCACACAAGTCATGCTACAATGCTTGTAAGGTTCATAAATCATGTTTGTGCTTTGTTCATACTCTAGTGTATTTCAAACACACATACAAATATTTTTAAAACATTAGACATCCTGGGAATTCACCGCACATCCTGCTCAACAAGTGTACCTGAATACCTATTTTTGCTTTGTGACACTGCATAAATTGTCGCTCGTATCTTTGCACAGACGCATGAAAAAACTCCTGCTCATATATTCCACTTGGCGAATAAAGTGATTCTGATTCCGATGTGTCCCCCAAACTCTGCCCTCTCCGTCTCTTCGCTAAGTCCATCCATCTCTCTGCCTGGCTGGCCAGCCTGTCTTTTGGTCTCGTCTACCTCTTTGTCTCTGTCCCGAGGGCCTCCGCAGCGTGCAGAGTAGCCCGCGAAGTCTTAACTCAAACGAGACCCCTTCGCGCCCCGTTAAACCACCGACCTTCTCTGTCACTCCTGTCGCCCGCTGCTGCCGACGACGGGGGCCTGAGCTGCAAGCTAAGAGACCCCGAGCTCAATAAAAGTGTGGGTGATTAAACAACTCCCTGTAATTGCTCCTTTTGTGCAGAAATCAAACGGTCACACTTATTACGGAGGCAGGGGGAGAGGGAGGTCGGGAGCAACCGCTTCCGCCGAGGGCTAGACACCCTCTGTGACCTTCTGCCCTCCCGTCACTACTCCTTTATCTGACCAAACAACCACTGTGGAGTGCGTGTGTTGACCTGCATGTGTGTGCTGCATGTGGCCGGGTGTATGTTAAGTATGCAAAGAAAGCAGGCAGAGTAGAATAAAACCAGAGCTCCCCTCAGTGGCCGATGGCTGAACTACACAAGAAACAAGCGAAGTGCAGTTGTGTGCCACCAGCCAGCTGGCTTTGGTAATGGGGGACAAAGCCAAACCAGGGGACCATGTCCAACATGAGGCTCGGGTTTCAGAGAGCATAGTAACAGGTGAACCATACACAGCATCTACTAGTCACACACTTACGTAGCTATCAGTACAATGGCCCAGCCACAGGGCCCTGTCAAATGGGTCAGCTTACAAAGGGAGGGGCCCAATTACCATAGCCACAAATACACACATAAAGTGCCTTTCAAGGGCCCAAGAGTGTTTCAGCTTCCCCGTGATTATGCCCACTCTCTACACACCCAGCACTTGTCGTACACATACAGAAACTCCTTTGCCAAAATAGCCATCAGACTTTCTGCAGCGGAGATGGTTTGAAAGACGAGAGCTTTCTGTGGTCAGGGAGAGACAGAAAGAGTAAACAACAAGGTGAAAGCATACCCTGCCATATTTAACCAGCAGGGATTAGATCAATGTCAACTTGCATGCATTTATGATGCAATAAATCATCAATCACGTATGTACTGCAGTATATGTCAGTATATTACACCACTTTCTCCAGAACTAAATTAATAACTTTTGAAAGGAAAATGGGTTTGAATTTCAAAGATTCAAGAGATTCAAGAGGTTTAATGTCACATCATATACACAACTAGTGTAGCTGCTGTAATGAATTAAAAACTTTAGACACAGGTTCTTCAACAATGCAATATAAATATATATAATATAAATACAACATTGTAGATGTCATGCTGCGGTGTTGTGGTTATTCATGCTATTTTCAATATTTAAGAATGATGACAGCAAAACTAATGCCTATATATTTTCTTACTCTGATGTCAATCCCTTGATGGTATATTAATACACTGTATTTCAAAAGTGCAGAATACACATATTTTGTTTAATAATCAGCCTGTTCATTAATTCCTTCCTTCAGCACTATCATTAAGGGATAATGTTTATAAAATAGGGTCAATGTGTAAGCAGAACATAATGGCTCTATGAACAGTGCTGATTGCATATAATTGATTTATGCTACCACATGAACTTAAGAGGAAATGGGATTCAAATAGAAAAGGTCCTCCAAACACCATACTTCACCGCATCAACCTTTTCAAGTGCAATACTTTTAAATGTGAGTCTGGTTTGTTTTGCAGACTTCAAATAGAATACAGCCCTCAGGTGTGGGTGCCGGTGGAGTTATGGTGCCCCCTTCTGCTCAAAATGTAAAGTTTCAGGCACAATATACACACCTCTGAATGTGATGGTAGGCTAATACTTATTTTCCACAGAGACATCAAAGGAAAGGAGACTGTATGTAAAACTGTGCAAAATCAGGCTTTATTCTTTTTTTTTCTCTGCATCGTCGCCTTTCATCATCAGCATCGTAATCACCATCGTTGTCGTCGACATCATCTTTAAAAACATAACTCACCGGAGACAGACAGCCAGAGAATACATTCTCTAAGACACTCGCAGCTCAAACCTCTTGGCAAAAAAACAGGCACCAGCTATTAGCACAGTCCCGCAACAGAATGAGTAAGCTGTACATGTCCACTTCTTTCAGGGCAATACATTTCAAAGAGGTCTCCAATGTCCTTATGTACAAGTCGCTCTCTTTCAGTAGTCTCTTAAAGTCCATTCAGTAGTCTTACTTCCAGGAGACACTGAAAGCCCGTCTCAGCACCGACATGGTTTAAGATGATGAATATTATAGTCTTCCTGACACCATAAATACTTTTTCTTCCACTGTTCCTCCTCTACCGGTGTCCTGCAGGTCCGAGGACAGTCCATTTCTCCAGTTTAGGCAAACGTTGAATAAGTGCAATGTCTAGTATAATGTCAAGAAAATACAAACCCACACGTACATACATACATACAGTACATGACTAACTGATAAACTTGATTAGCTATACAAGGTTGCCATTTTCCATCCAGTGTCCTTCAGGCAGAGGCCGGGGAGGATGTGAGCTCACCTGGACTGGATGTAGATATTTTGGTAAAATTGTCCATGATTTTCTGTACATTGGATTTTGTTAGTTGTGACTCCAATGGAAAGTGTAGTTCATACACAAACAGATTTATTTCAAAATGAGATATGCACCCCTCGGAGGAAAGGTGACTTGAACTAAATGACGGCGCCTGACAGATTATATTAAATCCAGTGTTTGTTTCTTTAATTTAATGACGTCGTTCAGCCTGCCCTTTTATACGTATGTCCAGTGAGATAAAAGTATTTTTTTCTTTAATATCCTGTTTGTTGGACGTTTTGGGGCTCTGAGGTTTTGAAAGTGCATCAATCATTGAAGAAAATCATAATAATGTTAATGTCTGGATTTTTACATTTGATAATGTTATCAAAAACAAAGTGCCTTCAGTGTATGTAACTCGATTTCAAGCCACACCTCGCTTATTGGATTCTGGGAGCAGACAAGGACAAAACGACAGAGCAGTGCTTGCCCCCCAGATAACTATGTCACAGACCTTAATTCATGTCATTAGTCAAAGAATATTAAACAAACGGATCGCAGATAATGCCTTTGCAAACACAATAAGAGAACACACTTCTATATGCATGTCAATCCATCACTTATTTGCCACAAGGGGAACACATTATCGTTTGGGGTGATTATTTCTTCTTTACTAGATATTCACAAAGAATAATGATAAATAAAAGTAGTCAGAAGGATCAGTGAAAGTGCGGCAAGTGAGGATAAACTGTGGAGAGACTTAGCAGTGACTACTACTTGCAGTTCTAACTGACACAAAACTCAGAAAAGCAGACCAAACTTGAGGTTAAATGAGAATGTAAAACGAAGCCACTCGGAGAAGAGGAACAAAGAAGGGAGAGGAAAACGAGGACCAGGACAAAACGACTTGAGAGATAATGTGCTCAAGAGTTAGCTCGGCCGTTAGCATCCGGCCTGAGGTCAGCCCGCCCAAACATTCGCTGGCTGCCTGCCCGCGTGCCCCCCCCCCCCAGAGACAGGTATGGATAACCACCATTAGCTGGAGTAGATCTGGGTCCCAATCACACGCATGATCTCCTTCTGCACCTTAGGCTCCTGGGTGTTGATGTTAGCATCTCCTACTTGGCCATCCTCATACCTGCACATATACATGGATGAGTTGACATGAGATAACATAAAACGTATTATTCCCCTTAGGAAAAATCAGATGTCCGAGCAGCATCGGCAATAAAAGAGAGAAACACAGGCTAAGTGTCTACACAAGGATAACTAGAATAAAAGAAGAAAGTAACAGTATAAATAAAAAATAACAATTGCAATAGGTAAAACACAGAGTAGTTGAGTTCACATAGGAATCAGTGAGAATCAAAAGTAGGTACATACAGAAAAGCTGGTCTTCAGATGTGATGTTGGTATTGTGTTTTGAAGCTTTTCATCAATAGCTGCTTCAGTTTTTATCCCTTTCTCTTGCTCACGCCCAATATTAGTTAAAAGCAGCCAAAGTTTATTAGTATCGCATCAACAAGGCATAATGATGATGATAAATAGTCCAAATTAACCACTTTAAGTTAATCTTGTCTAGGAAGCAAGAGGTTCACAGTGATTTTAGAAAAAGCATTGTTAGGTCTGATTCAAGAAATCTTTACATTTTCATTCTAATCCTGTCAACATTTCTTCAAGCTGAAGAACCCAAGCATATGCTGAGCACAAGTTCAGAATTTAATTATATTTAGCTGCGATTTAAATGTGATTGCAGGCATTCTCAAATCTAATTTCCCAATCAGAAGACAGCAGTAGACGTGATAATAGACTGTGCCATCTGGTTAATGCCTGTTTCCAAAGCTCAGACTCAAAGCCCTAACGCATAGCTTCAACACACAGCTGAAAACCTCCTGTTAAAAGGCTCTGACCTGAGAGGAACCCAGTTTAGTGGAGCGGTAACTCCACTCAGCCATCTTTTATTCACTGCTTATTTAAAGTGATGATGAGGGATGAGGGACAACTGCAGCATATACCATAATTCTTCATCAAACCACCTTCATCATGTGTGGTTTAGCAGGAAAAACCTGAGTGATAAACTATGCAATTTAAGTGATAATGAAGCGTGATGATTATTTTTTATACTGGCCGCCTGGCTGCTATGCCAACACACCTTGTCATTACACACTTTCTTTTGTAGGCATTTCCAAGGTGTTAAAAAAATGTGGGATTACTTACACAAAAAAGAAGCGTGTACAGACGTGGTCGGATACTGGACACACCCAGATGTTCCCATGTTTCTGCAGATCCTTAGACGTGATGACTGTCGAATAGAAAACACTCAATTAGAAACTGTGGTTTATATTTATATCTGTTACTATCATTAATATTATTGGTTGTTGCTGTTCTTTTTGATACTCCGTTAGATGCACTGCAGCTTAAGGGCTTATATTATCATAACTGATGCACATAATTTATTTTGTTTATATCTAATTGTTTACCTCTTATTATAATGATTATGATGAGATTATGATGATTGCTATGACCTTTTTTGACTGCACAATTAGTCTTGTGAGCCTACTGTTTGGATTTAATTATAATTGTGTTAGCGATTCTCTTCTTGTTTTGCTTTTATTGTGTCATTTCTTTTGTATTAATAAAAAGGAAATATCGTACTTATATTATAATGTGAATCAAACTTTCATTTGAATGTGTGTTTGTTTAGAGAGAGAAACACATCAATATATCATCATATCAATCAAATAAAGCCCCATATTATATCGTATAAAACATATGATACCTTCTTGCTGCTTATTACCTTCACACAGAGCGATGCAGTTCAGATTCCGACTCTGAAGAAACCTCGATTGTATTGGACGGCTCTGTTGAAAAGAGACAACAGTTCAAACTCTTCCCTGCTTCAGTGAATACCGTGATCTAACTGAGCTGTAACCAGACATTGAGAATTACAAACACTCAAACTGTAAACCCTATAATAGTTTTAACTAAAGCATAGTGATTTGAAGTAGTAGTAGTAGTAGTAGTAGTTAGTCGTTCAGTAGTGGTAGTTGGTATGGTGGGTATGTGGTAAGTGTAGTAGTAGGACGTTAGTGGTGGTAGTGGTTAGTTAGTCAGTCGTAGTAGTTGGTCGTACGATCAGTAGGGTAGTGGTCTGTCAGTCGTCGTTGCGTCGTCGTCGTAGTCGTCGTCGTAGTCGTCGTCGTGTTCGTGGTCGTGGGACGTCGTCGTCGTCAGTAGGTGGTCGTGGTCGTCGGCGTCGTCGTCGTGGTCGTACGTCGTAGGTCGTGGTCGTCGTCAGTCGATCGTCGTCGTCGTCGTCGTGGTCGTGGTAGTCGTCGTCCGTCTTCGTGGTGGTGGTGGTGGTGGTGGTCGGTGGTCGTCGGTCGGGGTGGTGGAGTGTGTGGTAGGGTGGTGTCGTTGGTCGGGTGGTGGGTGGGGTGGTCGTGGTAGTGAGTGGTAGGTCGTAGGTCGTGGGGGTCGTGGTGGGTGGTGCAGTCGTGGTGGTGGTGGTGGTGGTGGTGGTGGTGCGGTGGTCGTCGGTGGTGGTGGTGTGGTGGTGGTGGTGTGGTGGTGGTGAGTGGTGGTGTGGTGGTGGTGGGGTGGTGGTGGTGAGATGGTGGTGGGGGTGGTGGTGGTCAGTGTGGTGGTGTGGAGTGGTGGTGGTGAGGTTGTTGGTGGTGGTGGTGGTGGTGGTGGTGGTGGTGGTGGTGTGGGTTGTGTGGTAGGTGGTGGTGGTGGTGGTGGTGTCGATGTAGCGTGGTGGGGTGGTCGTGTGTCGGGGGTGGGTGGTGGTGGGTGGTGGTGGCGTGGTTGTCGTGGTGGTGGTCGTGAGGTGGTCGTGGATGGTGGGTGGTGGGTGGTGGTCGTGGTCAGGTGCGTGGTGGTGGTCGTGGTCGTGGTCGGGTCGTGGTGGGTGGGTGGTAGGTGGTGGTTGGTGGTGGGTGAGTGGTGGTCCGTGGTCGTGGTGTGGTGGTGGTGGTGGTGGTGGTGGTGGTGGTGGGGTGGTGGTGGTGAGTTGGTGGTGGTGGTGGTGGTGTATCGTGCGTGGTAGTGGTTGGTCAGTGGTTGGATGGTGGGTCGTGTCGTGGATGTGAGTGGTGGTGGTGTGGTGGTGGTAGGTGAAGTTGTGGTGGTCAGTGGACGTGGTGGTGGGTGGTGGTAGGTGGATGGGGGTGGTGTGTGGTGGTGGTGGTTGGTTGTGGTGGTGGTCGTCTGTCGTCGTTCGTGTTCGTCGTAGTCGTCGTCGTCACGCCCACCTTTTCACGCTTTGTTTGGATATGTTTGTCTTTTGTTGTGTGCAGTCTGGATTAGTAGTGCCGCACTATATTTGAAAAAGAGATGGTACGCATTTAGGAGAGGATTATGTGCAGTACCTGTGGGATGGTGTTCATACGGTTGTAGCGCTGCACCAGTTCATCTTTGGTGGGCATGCGGTGCTGTCCTTTCCCCATCCCTGCAAGAAGCAGCACACAGAGAGCAAACAACCAGAGTCAGAGCGACCTCAGATCTGTGAGAAACCTTCCTCTACTGTCTGCAGCTGCTGGTGCACAGGAAGTATTACCCACAGTGCTAACCTTCATATCAAGGTTGTTTGAAAAGGCTACTGAATATGGTTACATTTAGAAAATAAACTGCCACATGGCATGGGTCATCAGCATCGAGACAAAAAGGTGAAGAAGTACCACTTTTAGTTTATTTATCATAAAAATTGCCTTTTTTAATTATACCAATCATTCTGATATTTCAACTTAAAGGTGGGGTAGGTAATTCACTTCAGAAACACTTTTTGTTATATTCCATGGAATGCTCTTCACATCCCGATAGCAATGAATAAATTAAATGCTTTGACAATAAATACATTAAAATGACGACCAATCATCTGAGCCGGCCCGGCTAAAGTAACTGGATGGCCTACCTGCCTGTCAGCCTTCCATCTGTGCACAAACTTATCTCGTGCCCTCATTGGTCATGTGCGCGTTCGTGTGTGTTGGAGGAGGGGCTCTGTAGGAAGGTCTGAAGGAAGGGGCAGATTTTTTCCGGCTGCATATTTTCAAATTCTAGCGCACTCGAGCTGGTTTCTCCATTCTTACCTACCCTACCTTTAAGTAGGTATTTGTTAATATTACTTTTATTATACAGTGTATAAGCTGATTTTAGTGCACTGTATTATGCTTATATTGCATGATAGACATGGACGCAGAGAAAGTGTCACCATTGAATTTGATTAGGCAGGAAAGAGTAAAACAGAGAGCTAAATGCCAGCAATTGAGCATTATTATTATGAGAATTATTATTTCTACATATTTCCTTGAAACTACAAAACCATTGAGTAGGGGTTTCTTAAAAATACTAACATGGGTTTGGCAACCTGACAATCTCATTTCAAAATAATCGACAAAACACAAAAACCTAAAAAAATATACCTTTAAAATGGTGTGAGAGCAGGAATACACAATGTAAGGCTTTCAGGGTTAAACTGCCTCTTCACCACCACCCGACACAGGAGAAAGTAATATTAAAAGCCAACAAAGTAACAAACACAGATCCAGTGACAGCTCCATTTTTCACAACCACGACATAATGTATGGTAGGCGGCACACAAGCTCAGAGAAAGAAGGCCCGAGGCCCAGCACCCACAACGATCAAACACAACACAGAGCGGCACGACAAGAGAGCACGGGAAGATCCCACATGTGAAAATGAAGTGTTCCAGGATGATTATCAGGCCACGTTACAAACAGAGAGCGCACTCAGTCAACATGGTGGTATAAAAGGGAGAGGGGGGGTGGGCCGGAGGGGTCTGAGTGGCGAGGAGTGATTCTTTCCTACCTGAGTATCCAAAAGAAATGCTGGAGATGGGGCTCAGATAGATGCCCTTTCCATACGCTGCCCCATGCAGCTTGGGTTTGAAAAGAGCAGGAAGGAAGGAAGGGTCACTGAGCAGTTGCACAAGACCACCTCACTCACACACACACACACACACACACACACACACACACACACACACACACACACACACACACACACACACACACACACACACACACACACACACACACACACACACACACACACACACACACACACACACACACACACACACACAGGAAAATCCAAAGACAGTGGATCGCAACAGCAAAAGAAAGAAGAGTTTAATTAATCCGGTAAACTCCTACAGCCCACACAGTCACACCTTTTAACTGCAAAATATTTTCCCATGACACCATAATAAAGTCGAGAGAAGGTCATGTGATGCTCTTGAATCGCGTTTAAAATGACAACATGTTTTCCGGTTTGAACGTAAAGATGGTGAAGTATGATGAGGATTGACAATGATCATGAGCCTCCACACACAAGCATGTCCAGGATGAGGAAAAGGAAAAAGGACCACAGCTGTGACACGGACAAGTGTTCATGAACCGCGGTGAAACCACATGAAAGGAAGGAGAAACTCAGGGATGAAATGTGAGGTGGGGGTCAGGACATGGCACATCTGGAAGAAATCAAAAGGAGCAATAGACAAGAGGTGTTGTGTGATGGTTGGAGCTGGAGGCAGACTCAGTCCTCCTCCTCATGTGAGACACAATGACAGAAGGGGGGGGGGGGTGTCAATGCTGAAGGTGAAACAGGGAGGAGAAAGAGAAGCCAGACGAGATCAAAGATGGAGAGTTCAAAAAGTTGGAGAACAAAGCCGGCATAAATGAAACACATCAGCATGACAGAGCAATCACGGCCGACGTGAGTGTTTCAAAGAACCCTGAGATTTCACATTTAATTGTTTCTCATCTATTTTCAGGTGTGTCTTCAAGCAGTCATTATCTGTCGCAAATGAGACAATTCTGCGTTCTCTAGTTCTCACTTCATCTTTTCTAGTTTTATTATTTATCCTTTCCAGACCTGGTTCACAAAGTGCAACAAGGACAACTTTGTAAATGCAATGTGAAGTCTGATGCAGAGTCAAATCAGAACGCACTCTGAAGAAAAGCATGTTTGTCTGCTTTTGTATTAAAACTATTTATGGTCCTGATTTGAAATTGTACCCATTTGGTAGATAGTATTTTAATGAATTGAGGCAACTAAGTAGGCCTGCATTATTGCGCTCATGTTTTTCTGAATGTATATGATAATAATAATTTTTGAAACATAATTCACTTTATAATGGAAAAATATTCAAATGACCAGGGTTTCATTTTTTAAATGGATCTGTACCAAACAGGGATTCTTTATTGAGTCTGTTGAATACAGTTTTTAGGCCAATACTCCAATCAGAATGATATTTTTACATACATTACCTTTACTAAATATTGCACTTACTGCTATTTAGATACCACACAAGTCCCTAAAACGATTTTCTATAAAAGTTTGATACATTTCAGCACTATTGCTCAGCTCAAGTTTGAAAACAACAAGTGAGGTGCCAGTTACTGACCTTTTAGTGAAGCCCTCCTTATTCACCCACAGGAAGTCTATACTCACTACCATGGAGCTTGTCCTTTGCATCCTCCAGCTTCAGACCTAGCCTACTCAGTGCTCTAGGTGGTTCACCCCCACGGGGCACACAGACAGCCTCCGACATCACAGCGGACACCACAGCCCCCCCCCCCCCCCTTTGTCCCACAACAGGATGAGACGTGCTGTCCGCTGCTGTCTGCCTCACAGAGCAGCAGACATTGGTCGGGAAGATCTAACCGTGTGCCCCGCTCGCTAAAATGCCAAATGCAAAGCTGACGAAAGGGAAGCTGGCATCCATTAACTGCAAAAATGAATCAGCCGGACAGCGAGCCTGTTCTATCAGAGAGCAGGCTCGCTGTCCGAGAGGAGATGCATCGTAAATTCCAGAGAACTGCCAGGGTTACGTACCTGCAGTTTGGTATACGAGGCATTGACTAGTCCATTTCTCAGAACAGAGTGCCAGTTCTCTATATGGGAACCACTAGAGCAAGTGTAGAGAGAGGGAGAGATAAGAAAGAAGAGATAAAACAAAGTGCTGTGTGAATATAAACAGTGTCCAACCACCGGTGGGTAGTGGGCCAGATCCATGCTGCTCGAAAGTACACTGTCACATTCTCGCTGTAACCTTTGACTTTCATTATAGGGGGTTACCAAATGGAATTGAGTGCAGGAATGAGTACTAAAACACAGGAAGGAGTTGGCCTTTTACCACTTCCGATTCCCTCGTCTCAAAGGTTCATTTCTAAAAACGTTTTTGGTGAGGAGATGTTCACCCTTCTAGTGGATGTGTGAAGCTTAACGTGTCTTAAATACAGCAGTTGCTAAAAAAGTGTCTTGATGAGACGATTACACGTCATCAAGCTGAATGTTAGCCACCTTTAGCTCAGCAGCGATGAGTTGAAGTCATAGTTAGCTTTTTACTTCAAGTGTTTTCATTTACACAGTCACACAGCGGTGGTTAATGTGTGGAGATGATCCTGCTGAACAAAATGAATAAGTATCATAAATGTTTGTTTGCATCAAAGCATATTTTCGAAATGGAGAAATCCCACTGGCTTTTATTGAGGGAGAATTTCCGTGTCAGCCTGCAAATATGCATCGTCACTGGATAACTCTATCATTTCCTTTACTATTATAATATTGATTTTCTCAATGTCATGAATATTACTGTAAAAAAAGCAATGAAATGTGTTACTTGAGAATTGCTGCTTTTTACTTCAGAATTGTTTTAAACCTGTTGAGAATTCATAAAGAGAGTTTATTCAAGCTCTCTATTTTTGCAAAAATGTTGTTACATTATCACAGTACTCCAAATTGAAATGACTGAATGCTAAAAGATATTATAAAAATGAAGATCAAAGATGACAACCCATCACTGATGTCTTCAGCACAGTATGGGTTATTTGAATACATCTCCCAAGACAGGTCTTAAAATAAAATAAACAGCCGTGTCATGAGTGCTTTTATTTTTAAACTAGTTTTGAAGCTGTTATTAATATAACGTATATATGCTTTTAATTGATTCCTTCCCAAATCTCGCTGAAATGTATTTATATTTTCTATTAATCCATTTATATCAATGTCAAATCACGGCAGCCAAGCCGACATAAAGAGACAGCGTAAAGAGACAGTGTCAGCGCTGCTCATGTGTTATCTGTCCCACATGGGCCGTGTGCCTTTAAAATATTCAGCAGAGCCCCATCTGCTACAGTACCAATCTCCATCTCACAGATACTGCTGGCTCCATGTGCTGGCGGAGCGATTCGGTTTCTCAGTCCAAGCGAGTGGTCAGCGCTCGGTGCTGTTGTTTGTTATGGTTCCATTAAAATCAGCTCGAGTTGCTACTCCATCCGCAGCATAATGACCAGGTGCTCTAGAGAAGAGTTCATGCTTGACACAGTGTACTGCTGTAATGCTAGATTATGCATGCATTTCAGGGACTATGCTGGATTCAAGATCAATTATGTACAGTGAGTGATTTCTCACGTTATATTTACAGCCAAAGCTTAACAATAGAAATAACTACATTAACATATTTTACAATAGCCTAAATCATTTCTGTAACTGTGACTTCACAAGCTATATGCTTCAAATTAGTCATTCAATTATACAGGAGTGGTTATGCTTAATTCGAGTCAATAATGTATGTTTTTTTTTACTTAGGGAAAATAAAACATGAACATTAACTTGATTTGTCACATTATATTTGTCCAAAATCCACAAGCTTAACAACATAATAACCACAAAATGTAACAGCATTAATGTGTGACTCTCTACAAGCTATAAGCTTCAAAGTAGTCATTCAGCTAAAACATAAGAGCCTTGATGGGATGCATGCTGCGTCGGCTAATGAGAGGAACAGAGGGGACTCACTGGAAGGCGAAGGTGCTGCCATAAAGCTTCTTGGCAGTGCGGAAACGAGCCTCCTTGGCCGGGGGGCTGCTGAGCAGCAGGAACTGGTGGGAGGTGTGCATGAATTTCAGTTGCTAGCACAATGAGGTCATGAGGGAATGTGAGGGAGAGCAAGAGAGACAAAAAGAGAGTTAGTATGAAGCACTTAACGACAGAACGTAGGAGTAATAAGAAACTGATTTGATAAAGGGCATTCGAGGGGAAGCCATTCTTGTTTCCTACCCTACTCAGAGGCAGCTTGACAATATGAGACCGGTTACTGGAAATAATCCTGCAAAAACACACAGAGAATATCATAAGCATTTTTAAAAACAGATAAGCTGACCTAGGAATAGTAGGAAAAACACAAGTGTTACTAATAATATTATAAATGGCTTTGTTCTGTTCATGTGTCATAGTAAGAAGCGGCAGTGTGCAAATGAGCCAACGTTCACAATATCAGGAGTCTAAAACCAGCCAAATGAAATTCATCATTATTTATGAAGGAGCCGTGATTGAATTCAGTAAGAGTTTTTGTCGTGTTGATAACAAAGGTGGTTATGGTTGTTGTTTGTGACATTTTCATGTATATAGTTTGATCCTGATGTTTCGGGATGTTCGAATGGATAGCAATTATAGATATTATCAGTATATATACACGAGGTCGCCTGCGAAAAAGAGGGTCAGTGGGTTGCTGTGTCACAGCGACTATTAGTTTGTTTTGCTCAAATGTATAACTGTGCTTTTGTAAAATGTCAAAATGTCTCCATAATAAGGCAGATTGCCATAAGCCCATACGCTTATGCGTTGTCCATGATCTTTTATCTAATATAGTAAGTTTGACATGCTTTCTACTGGTGTGAAGAGCTTTTCCTGTCCATCTGCAAAACACAGTAAACACTGTTTTTGAGCAGATCCTCTCTACTCACCACTGTAGCAGGGGATGTGCCAAGGGGTCCAGTTTGTCCATCTGTTTCTTGATCTCTAGATATGAGCCCTGGGGGGAAAAAGCATACAAGCATGTGTTGTTTGCAGATATTAGGATGTTGTTTTCCAAAAGCCAAATGAGGAGTTGTTCAGACACATTCCTATGATGTGATTTATACAAAGTATGGATGCAGCCAAGCCACAGTGGGTACACAAGTAATATAAGGAAGTGAAGAAAAAACCGTTGAAGAAGTAAACTAATCCTGTGTAATGGTCATTGTCAAACATTGGGTAGACATACAGTAGAGTCATGATCTTATATAAACTAAAAAACTATACTATATACTATAAAACTATATCATCTATACATTAAGACTAACTATGTCCTATCCACTGTGGCCCTTCACTTCTTTCCCTCCCATCTTCTCCTTGTACCTGTGTCATTTCACGAATGGACATGACGCTGTCCAATGCTTTCTGCAGTCTCTCATAATTCTTCTTCTGTGTTCATCGGTTGAGCCAAACATCCATTGTATGCAATGACAGAGGGAACAACATACAGACATCTAAAATCACTTGTAGACACAAAAGTTTGGCAAAATATTGATACTATTTCTTAATTCTTCATATCAGTTTATGAAAAATACATAATTCATTACGCTACACTTCAAAGATACAACTAATGATGTAAGGTTAAGCATAGATGTGACATACCTACATGCATTACGCTTGTAAACTACATATATATATTCTAGTTTTGCTCTGACAGCATTAGTGGTATTGAATCTTGGAATAAAATGTGTTTATCATTTAGAAACCATGATCCTAGAAGTGGGGATGCTGACCTTTGGGTTGAAGGCCAGAGTCTTGGGGTCATTGGGGTCAACGACTGATGGGTACGGCTCGAAGATGATACTCTTACGAGGGGATTCAAGTGCAGCTCGACACATCGCCACAAGAAGGTCCACCACCTGCAGGCAGAGGGATTTTATAATGACATTTTATTCCTTTATTGGATGTTGTTATTTACTTATTTAAATGCTTTTATTGACAGTGCAATACCACAGAAATATCTGCCTCAGTTCCAATAAAACATATAAACTACAAATAAAATTTTTTTGTAACATATAAAGTCATTCTTTGATCTTAAATCCAAAAGAGTATTTAGGGGGGTTACAAAAATACAAATAAATAGAATTATGTCATATACTATCGTGTTGTCATCACCTCTGCTCCAGTACTCATACATGATCATATATTATTATAGGTTAAGCTACCCAGCGGCAAATTAAGTAGTTCAAATAAACCCCACCTTTAAGTGCAACAATGAAGTGATGAACACATTAATGCTTCAATAATTAGAATACTATAATGTGTTATGTATGATTCTTAAATAGAGCCATACTGCATAATGAGTACTTTTTGAAAGATATACTTTTGTAACTCGATCCAAAATTCAAATGGGATTTTGGGGGACTATTGCAGGAATAAATTACAAATAATATGTTTATAATGATATCATATACTATCGGTTGTGTGGTCGTCACCTCTGCTCCTGTTGCCACCTCCTCTGCTGCTCCGGACATCACACCCAGGGTGTAGAAGGAGAACACACACAGCTCCCTGGTGCACACAGCCGGCTATACAAACACACAAAGCCATGCACACAGACAAAGAAAGATAAAAATACACGCTTTTCAATGTGTGCTAGATATCATATAAAAGCACATGCACACTGACGCACACTCCCTCTCTCTCTTCATCTTGCTCCTTCACAACTACCATAGCGGAAAATCCATTAACAGGATCATGGTACTAATAGAGAGGGAGAACATCACACACATGCTATTCATAACATTGGATGTATGAACCAATATGGAATGGTTTATAAATCCATACTGTAAGTCCATTTCTTGTCGCTCATAAGGCGGTTCTGGAGGGCCAATGCCCCTGTAACACTGTGCTTGGAACCCCCTGTGGCCCCCCTCCAAAATAATAAATCTATGATGATGCCATTTGTGATAGTGTCGCAGCCAGTACTGTGCTGTATTGTGGGCATAAGATAACAGGAATGGGTATTTTTTCAGTAATGTAATTAAATACATCGAAAATAAGTTACTCAAACAAATTCTCTTACTTAGACAAATACCAAAAGATATTAAGAAATCAAATAAAAACAATGTTTGGCTGCATAAATAATGTATTTATTGCCCCAAACTGCATTTAGGTTAATGTGTTAAAAAAAATGGTAACGTCATTGACACAAATTCTGTTTTTAAAACAAAATACAAATAATGTTTTTTGACTTTACACTGAACTGAAGAAAGTTTAAATCTTGAACACTGTCTTTGTCTCCCTTGTCCAGCATCAAATGTGGTCCTCTCATTCACACAACATTGGTCTAGAACCGCCATTGTGGCTCATACCTTCAGCATGGATCCATTCTGAAAGACGTGCTGCTCGTCACACACCACGCAGTACTCGTTGAGCGTGGGGATCCTCTGCTCTGAGTACTTCATTATCTGTTGGGAGAAAAACCAGAGTGGTACTCTCAGTTATCATTTCTACCTCCAGCGCTGTAATAGAATAAAGATGAATTAAGCAGCAGAAATGTCACAAAACTACCATTCAGTAAAGCGGCTTCGACCAGTGGGGGAGCGTAACTAAGTGCATTTACTTTAATTCTGTACCTAAGTAACAAATAGAGGTGCTTCTACATGACTTGAGTGTTTTTACATTATGCTACGTTGTACTTTAATCTAACTTTATTTTGAAGGCAAATGTTGTACTTTTTACTCCACTGAATACATTTTACAGCATTATCTACTTTGCAGATTTACTACTACAAAACACAGACATCTGATATATTATTAAAGGTTAAGATACCCAGCAGTATACAAACATTTTCAAATAAACCCCACCTTTGCAAAATGGAGTGCAATCATAATAAAACAATAATTATTATTGTAGTAATTGTAATAAGGTAACACAAGCTCCATTTTGATTGCAGGACTTTTAATTGTAACTTTGTCATTTTAAACTGTAGTATTGCTACTTGTATATCATTCTGAAATGGAGCATTTTGAATACTTTTACGTATATATTTAAGTATATTTTGATGCTTATACTTTAACATAGGTTACATTTTTAATGCATGACTATTACTTGTAACTAAGTATTTGTTCACTGCAGTGTTGCTACACATATAATTCAGGAATGCACAAAATAAGTAATTGCAGTTGTTGTACTTATACTTACAGTATATTGATTGTTGCTAATACTGTTGTACTTTTACTTGAGTTGTATGCTGAATGCAAGACTTTAACTTGTAATTGAGTATTTTTACACTGTAGTATTGCTACTTTTACTTTAGAATTGAGTACTTCTTCCACCTCTTGCTACAACTGGTTAAACCTATGATATGGTCCCACTGTTGCACAACAACACACTTTAGCCCCCCTCCCCCCTCTGCTCCCAGCTCATATCTCCCCGGGGTCTAACCTGCACTAAGAAGCCATACTCCAAGGTAGGGATGTTCTTGCAGTGGCCGCCCGCCTGGGATGAGAAAAACAATTCAATCAGCTGCCTCGTGGTAATCTGCGCAGGGGCCCTGGCCGCCGGGACAGCCACAGTCTGATGAGTCAAGTGAAGACAAAGCATTATGGGAAACGGCGCAGCAGCCATGTTACGGTGGGGGGGAGGAAAGACTCAGGTGGGAAAAGTGCAGGTGGCAGGTGACTGAGAAGAGGGTAAGAGTGGGTTACAGTGGATTAAAACAGAAATATACAGTGCCTTAGAGAGCAGGCAGCAGCAGCATTTTGCTTCATGAGTTTCTACACAAACGCAGTGTCAAGGTTCAGAGCTGAGACATCAACACTGTGACCACAACTTGACATGTGAGTGAAACATGTTAAAGACTAATAACAGGGTTTCTGCAGGTTTCAACAAGTTCCATTCAGATTTCAGAAGAACATTTTAAGAATGCATTGAATACAATATAAGATACATTTGTGTTTTTGGAGTCATACAGGCAGAAATATGATTGGAAATGAGTACGAATGAAAATTATCATATAATTGTTTGAAATACAATAATCAACTGACATGTTTGAAGTGAAAAAGTGATGTACAACATCAATAATATGTACAGATAAAGTAAGAAAAACCTTTCTTTTGAATGTAGTATAAGCAAAGAAATACAAAAATCCTGACAACCCTCTTTTTTTGTAGGTAAGACAACAGTAAAGCATTCATTTTAAGACCTATAAAATCAAGTAAGGACGATGTTAGGACTTCATTTCAGCAACTTTTTAAGGACCTTCTGAAACCCTGACATAAGTAGGAGAACAGTGGGATCGTGTTAATTCCTCAAATGAACATTTCAACTGAGAGATGTGTGATTGATGCCCAGTACAGGCTGACACTGACCTGGCTGTTGGGGGGGTAGCTGAAGAGCTCCCCTTTGGGGTTCTTCATGGTGCACGAGATGGAGCGGTTCATCAGGCGCGTCACCCTCAGCTCAGGGACGCTCAGCTTCCCTTTCAAAACTGTGTCTTGGATCAGAGGAAAACTTGGAGACCTAAAAAATAAACAAGACAAAATTCATGCACATTACTTTACCAAGCATGTATCTATCTTTCTTCTAACTTGGAATGCCAACACAGAAATGTGTTTGTTGTTTTAGAAGTGTATTGTTTGAAAAATACATACATATTGTCAGTGCCTGGTTAATGTTATAGTGAAATGTATTAAAGAAATACACACGCTACACTTACATTATTATATCAGCTTGCACAAACTACAATCTGTTAGTTGCTAGCTGTTATTATACAATGATCACCATCACTTTTATCCATGTACTCTCTTGAAATGAGACTCCTGTCAAGTAGTAAGCATGGCAAGATAGCAGTTGTGAGGCTGACCTCCATCGGGGGGGGGTCGAGATACGATCCCAGTGCACCCTTCACTGTCAAAGCCTCACACAGTCAGACAGAGGCAGAGAAGAGTAATCCCCCCTTGGTTGTGTCACGTTTAGAGTTTGAGTCTATCGTACACATGCAAAGTCAGATATTTTGCTCCTGCTTGTCTTCCTTGCTACAGTCTTCAAAAGCGCAGACCCCCACAAAGTACTTATTTCACTGACTCTCTATTGTCCAACAGACATCTATGGACTTGGAATATAGTTCACATGCATGTTGGTAAAGTAAACGTATTAATATAGCACCTTTCTAGATTTGATGTTGCAAAGAGCTTCCCAATAGATCAAAGGAGAAAGTCAAAAGAAAGGAATTCAAATTCAAAGTGAAAAATACAATAGAAATTAAAAAATGAACACAAACTGTAGACATCATCTCATGAAACAGGATATTCCCTAGAAAGTATCCAGAAAGAGGCATCATATTGTGACTAGGTACAGGCTGAATCACAGAAATAAACGTAATCCTCAACCTTCTGTTATCTCCTAAAAACCTACAATTGAAAAAAGCTGAATTGTCATGTAAAAATAGCATCATTTTAGTTACAGGAACACTTAAAAATATCTTACGACTTCCCAAAAGTGCAAGAACATTGGCAGATGTAATGCCAAAAATAACACAAAAATAGCCTGATTGTGTAATTGAGGTTATTTCCTCCGTGCTCTTCTCCCTGAGTGATTGCCGACACTTGAAAACAGTAAGTGTTTAGAAAATAGATCAGGACATGTCCTAATAAAATGTTCAAGACGTCAGCAACTTAACTGAGCATCACATCACATTATAACAGCTTAACTCCTTGTTGACGTGTTGGAATTATCATCGCTGAAAATGTGTGTTTATTTAAAAATAACAATCTATTGGATTGTCAATCACAGACTCAAAAGAATATGCTAATTTTCAGGTACATATTTGTATTTGGGCGGTGGTGGCGAAGCCGATAGGGACTTGGCTTGGCAACTGGAAGGTCACCAGTTCAAGTCCCGGCAAGACCAAGTGCTACCGAGGTGTCCCTGAGCAAGGCACCGTTCCCCACACTGCTCCCCGGGCGCCGTTCAAAATGGCAGCCCACTGCTCCTAACACTAGGAAATGCAGAGAAACAATTTCCCCACGAGGGATTAATAAAAGTTCATCTTATCTTATTTTGTCCCTCTTCTGTGACATTCAGAAAGGGCTTTATTCTTCTCATACTGCCTGTGCTGCAGCAACTCTTTTCACCCTCTGTCTGAAACCAGAGCCCAGTCTGCTCTGATTGGTTAGCTGGCCGGCTGTGTTGTGATTGGTCAACCGCTTATTACATGTGTTGGAGGGCTAGCCAATAAAAGCATGTGTGTCACATAGTGAGGTGATTATGTTACGGAAGTAAACAAAGGAGTCAAACTTGAGGCAGGGGGGGGGAGAGAAACTTTGGGATTTTAGCCTTTGCAAACATTTACATGCGCAAAAACCTATGTAACACACTGCAGGAAAAGGCATAATAGGGCCCCTTTAAATGTGTAGCATGCTGTCTATGAAACACAGTCATGGTTGTTAGGATGTCTTGAAAGAGATACAGAGAGAGAGAGAGACCTACTTGGGTATGGGGGAGAAGATGCTGAGCCCGGCGCGGAACTTCTTGATGGTTCCCCCGGCTTTGAACCAGCTGTGCCTCTTCTCCTGCTGGGCCTTGAGGAACTCATTACTGAGGTGCTTCCACTGCTGCGAGGTGAAGGTGCTCAGGATCCTGATACGGCACAAATAAGGAAGATTGGTGAGTTAACATTGAAGTGGTGGATTATCCTTCTTTTTGTTGTACGCATTATTATGTTTTGTCAGTGGATAAATCAGCCAAAAATGAAAAAGTAAATAATCTGGTATTTGTATTTCTGATGCTGCACATTTGAGGTTACAATCCCCAAGAGTTTTGTTTAAATAAATGTATGTTAAGTCACTATATTTCACCCACTGATGAAAGTATTATATTTGCACTAATGTGAGCTGGACAATTTGGTGATATTCCAGGAAAACATTCTAAAGTGTCTCCTAATGCAAACCAAACAGTTCCTACAGCAGCTTCACATTAAAACATTAAACTGGTGAAAAACAAGTTAACATTTAGTGTGAACTAGTCACAGGAAATGCAATGAGTTTAAACATGACATTGGTTGCTATTCATAATCAAAAATGCAGCCGAAACCTGATAACAGTCTGTATTTTTGTAGATATATTGCAGGGTAGAGTATAGAGCACAGTGAAGTGTTAGATGAAGAGCTGCAGGCTGCACAACGCTAATTTCTCACAGCCAGGTAACAAAGTACTTTCAGTTTTTTGCAAACTCATGCCGTGCGTCGCATGCAAAGCGGGTCACAGTTGTTCACAGAATGATGGAAAAGGACTAGGTAGTAGGTACTGCCTGAAATCCTCATTAAAAAGAGAATAGTTTGTTTTGCTGCCACCAGTTTTCTTGGACCCAGGTGGGACGTATTCACCTACAGTTTCTGATACATATTTATATTGGGTCTTAATCTTAAGTATTGCTAGTAGTAATTCACTATGACATGTTCTTGGTGTCAACAAAAACAACTTACTTTTTGAGCTGCAGGCCGAGGCTGAAGCCTTCTTTATTGGAGGGCTGGAACACCTCGACTGATGGCTCTGAGTAAAGATGACTAACATTATTACACAGTGCACAGAAACACACTCTCACTTCTCACTCTCCCTCTTGTATAGCACATATTGTACTCACCTCCCACGCTCAGTGAGTGGCACAAATACCTAAAGTCCCTCCCAGAAAACCAACATCCACACTGACATCTTTACTCACCAGGTCCATCGAGGTACTGAGAAAGAGAAAAGCGCAGTCTCAGAATAATGGGCTCTGTTCTGATAACTTTCCAAGCTGTCGCAACCTCCTCCTGAGTCAGACACACACACATACACACATACACACAGAGTTAGCATCCTAATTAGGGCCATTTCTCATTGCATAAATAAATTACGAGCACACGATGCATTATACATGATGTGTTACTTTGCAAAATATCAACGTTGGAATAGTAATGGGGAGAGAAGGAGGAGGTGTGTGCAGGGAAAGAGGAATGCTGACTCACATCTAAGAAACCGATGTTAATGTGAAGATCGATGTCCACGTCATCAATGGTTCCATACTCCCTGTGAAGAGACGGAAAAAAACAGTCATTCAACATAAGTAATGAGATGCACTCAAACATTTTCGATATCCCGGTGTGTTTTTTTCCTATTTCGCAGACAGTGCCTAGTGGAAATGAATACATTATGACTCTGAATTGTCTCATGTACAAAATCTTTTCAAAATAGGTCTTACACAGTTGTGTTTCTGTGTGTGTTGTTGTGTTTCTGTACAGTACCTCACAGAGACAGCACTGTCAGTGTAGATGTCTTTCACTGCCTCGATATCTGCATCCAGCTGAGGGTGGCGGTACAGGTCCGCCGCACAGCTCCCCTGTAAACAGCAGTATATTAACACTGAAGCTCACAATTATACCCTTCAGTGACCCCATCTGTCATCATCCTAATGTGTTCATTTATTATATGATTTTCCCAGGACAATGCACAATGATCGACATCACTTCACATGGGCCATAGAAGCCAAAAAGCTAATTATCAGCTGTTGTCCAGATGTTAAAATGGCCATTAAAAAACACAAAGTGCACCACATGTCAAATTTAAACCAGAGAAAGCAAAGCATGAACAGCTGAACAGGAAAAAATAGCTAAGAGCGGTTCGGCAAGCATATCATACAAAGTAGGACATGTTATGTGCAGGAAATCAATACACAAACAATGTTAAGAACAGTTTTTATGATGCATATTTAACAGAAGGATGTTAAGAAACTGTGTAAGCTGTCAGATGTTTTCCTTTTTGGGACAACCATGTCCACTCTAATTCTTGATCCGTTTCATTTATGTTCAACATGTTTCTGAAGGCTGAATGTGGGGGGGCTGCTAATCCATCAAGATCACTGAATATTAACAAGCATTGTGAAACTTAATATGCATTTTCAAAGAGGCCATTCTATATCATATCATCACACTAGGAACGGGAGCATTTAGTATTATTATCCATGCTTTAACATTGTTTCAGTGGGGGACGGATTGAGAGTTAATGCAGTATGTCATATGTGAGCATGGATATAAATCTAAGCAGTTTCAACATTTGGAGATTATTTTAAACTGGGTGTTATTAAGGACACATTTTATATTGTTTCTATTTAAACCATTATAACTTCTAACTATTTATTACTTCAACTATTTATTCACTGGTTTTAGATTCCTGTTCAGACTTCTCTGCTTATGTTTTTACTCATCTTAAACAGATTGTCAATTGCAACACTACAGCTGAGCTTATACAGAAACGTGTTTTAATTAATATAGGTTCTTCTCACATCAGCTGTGCATCTGAATATCTCGCCTCAGCAAAGACTTTTGTCCAAATACATTTCAAAAACTGTAGGCATATATTTGTCCTTTTTCAGCTTAAATTTCCTGAAATACATTCTGTGGTTACCTCAGTACATGTGCTGTCCTCCAAGAATAACAACTTATTAAAGTATTAATAACAACAGTTGATCTAAGTTTGTCATATTATGTCTAGACTTGAAGTCACACTCCTCTCCTGAGCTCTGAGTGCAGATCTTTCACTTTCATCCTTATCTTCACTGCGCTGCTTTCATGTTCTCTGGCTGCATAGAAATGAGCTCTAAGTTCCCAGACTGGATTTACATTTCAATCACAGGACTTGGAAGATAACAGTAAAAAGGATGACTAACAGATTAAGATTTTGTATGGAAGTGAAGCATTGAACTTTAAGAGATTATACAAGAAATAGCATCCAGACAAATTTATTTTGTGTTGCTTGGGACTTCAAGTGTGTTGAAAAGCTAAACCTGTATAGTACTTGAGTGAAAAATCTAATATGTGCTATTGTCAGTTTTTAAACATTCATATTTTGGACACAGCCCAGAACCTTGTCAAAAATTGGGACATTGAATATCCTTCATATTAATGTATATGTTTTCCCTGCATTAGGGGACGCATTAACATAGTCCATCTGTTCTGCCCTACTAGAGCAACATATTAACTACTGGATTACTATCAACCCACTGCATTATATTTTGTCCGAATATGCATAATGCTCAAACCAAATCCTAGGTCTGTGACAAAACCTGTGGTTTTCGGCAAAACCAACTCAAACAATCAAACACATTACAGCAGAGGATCTTGTAAGTCGGTAAAACACAACATATCCGAAGCATTTTTAGAGTTTGTTGGGAACTAAAACAGTATTTTTGGTATAAAAATACCTAAGTTTGAGAGTGAATGTGAATCATTGTCAATCATTGTAAAAAACAACATTTCCCGACATACAACCAGATGTAATGTAATGTAATCCAGTAGCCTGTGCTTTACCTGAATGCCATACAGGAACTGTTCCGACTCGTTCTCCCCGTCCGACTCCTCGTCTGTCCAACACTGGCCTTTGATGTCCTGTGGGCCCACACATTGTGAAAAGGCCATTATAGTGGAGCGGAAAGAAAATGCAACCTCTCTCTCTATCATCCTTTCATCTCACGTCCTTTCTCACATCTCCCTATTTAGCCTCGCGTTCAAAACACCCAGCTTCAAAACAATGCTTTATATAACATCTCAAAGAGAGACATGAAGAGGAGTGATCTATTTCTAAAAAGACAGGAAACGCTCTAAATTCAACCTTCAAAAGAACACTCAATTTACGATCATTGATGAGATCCTTTTATGTTTTTTTGGAGAAAATAACCATGTCTGTTCTCATTTCCAGCAAAGCCTGATGCCCGGAGGTCCTGTTGGAAAAACCCACAGTATTTAATCTATACATTGACATTAAGCTAATACAACATCCTAATGTCCATGAAAAGGCTTCACTCCTGTTAGCATTGACGGCAAAGTAATTTAATGTACCACTTTAGTACATCTTAAACACACCATGCATGGATGATACAGCTTAATCGTATGCAGTGGTTACACCAATAGAATCCTAGCTGTCTTACCATTGGGTCTGCTGTTCATAGGGCTCACTCAGACAGGTTTAAACCTTTGAATACTGCCGACCATTGCAGCGTATTCCCAGGTGGAAGGAACGAGAACGGAAATCCGGAGAGCTTCGTCTGACCACCTCTCTTTCTCGCACTCTTCAGAACTGCAAAACCTGGGAGAAATAGACATTACAAATCAGTAAAGGATGGACAACGTGAAACAAAGAGGCCATCATGCCTAGCTTTGTACACGGTGCCCTCCTCCTTTTTTTCTTTCAATGGTCTGCACTTCACCTTGCCATGTTTCCTAGCAACAGCCATCTCTGGTTCCTTTCAGAGTGGCATTAATCACTGTGGAGAGAATGTGTGGGAGATATCTGCTGAGCGTTCAGTACCCAAGATGTATCCATTTCTTTGTGTTGTTTGTTTTTCCCCCAGCAAATGTACCTATTAATACTGAAGCACCAACAGTTGGCACACCTTTATTGAGCTAAGCGAATGATGTCATTGTTAAACTGACGTGTTTGATTGGCCTGGATGATTTATATGGAAGGAAATGGTTGAAGCGCCATGTTATTCCTGGGTTAGCATAAAAAGAGGGCATTGTTGGCACACAGTGTTGAGTAAAACAAATAAAAGACATTTCCCAAGAATTTAAGAAAACACAATAAAGGTTGCCTATAAATGGTGGGGGAAATATTGAATATGAGGATACAAATTGTAAGGGAAAACAAAATGTGTGATATAACAGAGGCAGCTACAGTTCACTGCATTTAATGGCGGCCCATCACATTTTGTGTTAGACATGTAAACAACGAGCGTGATGTTCTTTCAACAAGATTTAAAGCTGCAGATGCAGAGTTGCATAACGAACACTGCAGCATCAGAATACACATTACAATTTACATTGTGTAGTGGATGTCAAACCAAAATAAAAGACATTTCTTAATATTTAACAGTACTGAATCTGACAATCAAAGACTGGATGGCAATGGCTTGGCACTCGAGAGCACACTGCCTTAGCAAAACCACTAAGCATGAAGTCATCTATGCTATACATATGACAATGTAATGAACACCAATTATACATCTTTCCCCTTGTTTGCTGGGCTAACATAAGACACTAAGCTCATCTCTACCTTACATTGGGCGATTTTCCACAAAATGAAGATCTGTGTTTCTCTCCCTGGTCTTTTATTTGTGTCACGGCTCCTCCAGACATCCACTGCATCCTATTAAACAAAGCTCCCTCGTCATCACCATCTTCCGCTTCAGCTCCTCTCCTTGTCCCTATACGTCTGCTGCCCTGCCATATCTTTAACCCTGCAAGCACCTACACCAACCCCCCCCCCCCCCGTCTCACATACCAATAGAGTCGGCGGCAAAATGAGCCCCCCACACATCATATTTAACACAAACACAGATGCAGTCAGGCGGATTTTCCCCTCCCCCCATGCTCCGCACCCCCACCCCATCCATCCACACTTACCTCCACAGAGGATGGAGACTCGGATGCCGTCCTTGCCTCAGCTGCTCCCCCTCTTAAAGGGCACACCTGCCTTTCTCTTTCTCCGTGGCTGTTTTCCACTGAAAATATAGATGACAATAACCCCATTAAAATAGGATTTGTTAGAGAAACGAGAGCCACTATTCCCCAGTTCAGCGCTCTCAATGCGTGTGGTGTGTGTCTGCGAGCAATCCAACTGGTGTGTGTGTGAGTCTGTGTGTTTATCTATTGCAGATCTCTGCTGCTGCTGCTGTTGCTGCTACTGCTGCCTTGTATTTTGCCTGACAACACTGAGGGGTCTGAGCATGCTCAGTGAGATCAGGCAAGCAAGTCATGTGACCTGCAGCTGACTGCACTGCTGCTGCTGAGAAATAAGGAGGAAAATGGCTCTACTCGTGTATATGCGTCTGCGTGTGTTTGTGTGTTGTGTGTGTGTGTATGATTGCATAAGTCAGTGTCTATTGCAGTTCAACCATGTTTGGAGTCAGATTATGGATAATACTGTCTCATCTAAATATATTAAAAGAAAGAAAGCATAAATATGATCCTTTTTACAATGTGCTTTATACTTGAGCACTGCATGTTGTATAGACGCTGAAATGCATAAGCTTAGTTAATATAATATTATATTTATATTACAATAACAATAGTTGTATTTAGTAATATCAGAAACAAATATTGCAACAAATATCATTTCCTTTGTATCTATGATACACTGTGTTGTACGGATATGTGAGACAATTACCATCAGGCCTTAACAAGAGTTAATCAGTCTTAACCTTGATTATCTCAAGGTTCAATTTAAGAATTGACCTAAAAAGTGAACATGTCTTACGGTCTGATCAGTGTGTGGCTGTAGCCAGGATATAGGAGAACATTAAGATATCTTTAAACATTCATTTGGCACACAATGCAGCAGCTTAAGGGCATTGACCACAATGGCACAATTGGGAAACATATTTGACACCGTTTATTTTGTCAATCCTGCTTATATTCTTATAATGCCTGGTACTTCTTGTATATGAACAGGTGTTCCAGGTTCATGTTTTTCCTATAGTGCAACTGGATAGAGGAGGTGGAAATGCAGATTGAAATACAAATGTTTTTCTTTGCTCCATGTTACTAAATCAATATTCCAACATACAGTAATTGGCGTGGAACTTTCTGAATTACAACCACTATCTTTTTTTGTGGAAGAAATGACCTGTTCACTGAAATATTAAATGATTTGCATATCTATAACTTGTTAAACTAAAAACACATTCATTTTGTATTTTGCTTCCACAGTTTTCACCCTACTACTATGGAAAATCGATGTTTACAATTTCCTCATCTATTGTCTTTGCCTTTTTAATATTATGATAAATGTTATCATCATGCAATATTGATTTTTATGTTTTCTATGTGTGCCTTAATGGATATCATTTTATTTCTTCCCTCTTGTATTCATTCATTATAATTTGATTTGAGGTACCACTTGTACTCATACAGTAATAATACACACAATAGGGTGTCCTAACTGCTCACTGAGATTTATTTGAGCACATTAGCACAGTGTCTTACAGTACCTCATGGCCTGTGAATCACAGGAGTAAGCAGCCAATAATACTGACTGACAGCCAGGCCCTCGGCCAGTGGACAGGGGGACTGGATAGCAGATCTGTCGCTCACCTGGACAGGTGTGTCCATTGGCCTCAGGCAGCGGAGTGGATCCATGCTGAGGCTATTTCCAGCCAGTGGGACAGCAACATGGGCAGTGGGAGCAGCAGTGCCAACACCACCACAGCTGCCAACAGGTGAGAACAGAATAGTGAGAGATGACATGGACTACAGTATGCCACAGGGAGAAAAGAAAAAAGATTAGCAGGGTGCTCTGTATCAAGTACTTATATAAGTATCATTGCCAGGTTGATTTATCCGTTATGTTGCGAGTCTGACTGTTACAAATGTGACCTCACTGTAGTTGACACAGGAGACAGTGTTTTTGTCTAGGATCTAGTTTTAGTCTGCCATCTCCTTTGGCAGAGCTTGTTCATATTATCACAACACCATAATTAATCTTCCTGGGAACATTTGCATGTGTTTCGTATGCTCTGTCTGGACAAACAATTCCTATATGTTGTTACTTTCGGCCATTGGCATAACACAGCTGATTAGCAACAAGATAATATTATGAAATATTCTATAAAATATGTACAAAACATATCAATGTTCTGTGTATCTCAGTTTTCAGGCTCTGTAAGTTATTTGGAATACACAAATCAACTTTATATTAAGTTGCAATTTGTGCAATTTAGTAGAACAAAAACGGTTGCTTAAAATATGCAATTTCGCAACGTGTGTTTGAAACGCAACCACATAATAAAAAATGATATGATTTGAGAATAATTTATATAATAACATATATATGTTATACTCAACATGGTGTTCCTAAAAACCTTAAAATATGCTAAGAGCACATTATTGAACAAATTGTTACATCAGTATTCATCACTAGATGGAGGTATTGCCTCAAACACTGCACAGTAGCAAGGTATCAGGATTCTTGGTTAATCACTGTTAAACTCTGGCTGGATGCGACTACTAATGCATTTGAGGCAATGAACAATTGCCATTGTATATATAAATATTGCACCAGTTTTGATTCAATTAAAAACAAGTGCGTGAACAATATCTGTGGTATTTTCTACGAGAGTACCGTATATTGCAACACGTTTGATTATGCTTTCCATTAACCATTTAGGTAGGCGATGATTTTCATATCCGTAGAATAATCGAACCAACATAAACTACTGACAACATGATAGTTGGAGTCGTTAAAACGTAATTTAACTAGACAAGACTAACCGTAGTAACCAAATACTGAGTTTTTTCAGGAAACCACAGCACGCCATCCATAGTCACATGTCCGACTCATGCGATGATGCACTCACGCGCCCTCTGATTGGCTCCTTAACTTTACCAAGCACTTCCACCGCGTAACGGTGTATCATTCCGCGTTGATTATAGTTTCTTTAATTTCCTCGCTTTTCACAAGAGTATTACTAAAAGAGAACATTCATGTGAGCAGTCTATAATCAATGCAATAGGTAAATAAGGGTTAAGAAGTTGCATTGTTATTTAATGTGTCTTCACTCTCTCGGATGGATATGTCTCAGCATCCCTAGAAAGTAGTTCCGCAGAGTGAGGAACGAGGGAGATCACCTTGAGCTTATTTATCAGTGGAAAGGCACATCGTTCCCTGCAGTTGTTCAGCGAGGTAAGGTGGGTATCCTCAACATGAACTGCTAATTGTTCTCTTTAAGTAAACTGATTACTTGTGGGTACATGATATAACTGCTTTTTAAACCTTTTTGTCTTTTATTGTATGTGTACATCCTGCAAGCTGGTAAGTCCGGGCATGTATGAGTCAACCACTCGTGGCTTGTTTGTTTCCACTCTTAACTTATCTACTTTTTAAATTAACATCATGTTCATCAATGCCCAACACGCCTAAATGTGTGTTTTTTATTTGACACCAGCCATTTTTAATCCTGTTCTGCTGGTTAGATATCTTTTGTTTTAACAACGTAGAGATTTGCACTTGGACAGACTGAGGGGATTTGTCCGTGCACTCGGCAGATATTTCTGTTACTACCGCACTACGTTTTTGTAATCTTACTTTATCGCTAAACATTGGTATTACATTTAAAATGATAGAATATAAATGTGATGCGTGCAGTGCATTTTCGCTTCCTGTTGCCTCCTCTTGTGGGTGTGGCCGCTGCGTCTTCTCGGCCTCTGATTGGTCAGTTTCTGTGATGACTACTTGATCAGGAAAATGTGACGCAGGATGAGAACGTGACCTTTAGCGCATCGTGTGCAGAGCATATTACATTAAATATACGTTTTATCCGGTGACACAAATGCACCAGATCTTAATCTTCCCTGCATTAGTTGTGTGTTATCGTCGTACTCATTTAAATGGCGTGGCAGTGAGTTAGTCATTAGAGAGCTTCGTCACAATCATCCTTTGTATACTTCAATATTCCTGTCACACTTCCACAGAAACACCTGAAATACATCTGAAGCTCGTTTTGACTGTTTTAGAAAATGGGAAAACTAGTCCATGATAATGTAGTGCACATTGCCTAAGCAGCTACACTGCAGTAGATTGCTGCAGTGCCGCTACAGATAAAATGACTTATTGACACTCGATACATGAGAAGAAAGGCAGGTCTAACTCTCGTTTTTAGCTTTTAGGTAGCTCCCTAATTGACAGCTTAGTTTAACTGCGCTGCTCATTATAGGCATTAAATAAGGCCTGTTTTTCAGCCTGTTCCACAAAAAAAGAAAGATGATTTGATCAAGGCAAGGCTTCGTTTACTTTTACATTTAAAATTGTGACTACACATCCTTTATCAAATACATAACTACAGCATAAGTAGGATATGCATATGATATGGCCTGCTGTAAAACCACTTGTGCTGTTTTAATACTTGTTTGGTGTATAACTCAATTTTGGAGAAACTGTCATTGCTATGTCCTTCCTGTCCCTGTTGACAAAATGGAGTCTTTATCCCAGGGGAACTTTTAGGTTATAATGTCAAGTGACTAGGAAAAGTGTCTTTCTGTTAACCTAACTGGCTGTTAACTTTTAAGTATTTGCCTATGTGGTCTGGTCTTTAGTCTCCATCATTCTTTAGATATAAACTGCTGAAATAAATAACAATAAATAACTATATACTGTGAAATTGTCATTTAAACTGTGGTTGTTAATATGCTTATACTTGAGTATTACTTTGGTAGGTAATCATTGATTTTCAAAGATGATTGCGCATTTTCGAGTCCTCCAGCTACTGGAGTTAATGGATGGGAAAACTATAATTGTTCAGTTCTATATCGGGTTAAAAGTAACTTAATTTATCGGTTTTTGACCTGGTTTCATGGAAAGGTAGTTTAGTTGCAGCTGATCTGGTGGTCAGTGCAGTAGGCCTTTTGCAGCCCCCTCCCCACCAAAACTGCATGTTTGCTGACTAATGCTATGTGGAGGCATGCGGTGGAAGACTACCAATTATGGGTAAATTCCTTTGCTACTTCAGACACACTTGACTGACTGCACTGAATCTATTTGAGGTAAGGTGCTTGGGTTTAAAAAAAAGCCACATAATTTACCATGTGTATATTAATTGCATTGAACATGCACGGCATTCTATACCATTAAGTAACTTAGATGTACCCTTATCTGCTCTTTGTTTTGGAGTATACAGACCTTGTTTACTGGCCCACATAGTGTAAATACCATAGTACATGCTGAGTG